TATGGCACTTCTGCTATATGAGCTGTACTGGATGCCATTCTACTCCAGGATGACATTTAAGGTGCCATGGTGTATGCCCAGCTGATATGTATTAAGAGGACTAGAACTCTTTGAGTCCCTTCAAAACAGTGCTGTCTTTTGGGACCAAGGAAGCACTCTTTCTCCATCACAACACCTTCCCTCTGGAATGCAGTTCCCTCTAATATCCAGGTAGTTCTGGAAGGCCCTGATGAGCTGGCTCTTTACCCAAATCTTGGATTAGAGTATCTGGACCCTTCTGGTGAGTTCTGTTCTATTGGCTGGATTTGCCATGTGCTTTACTTATTTATTTTTTGCCGGTTATGCTTTGTGCTGTGGTTTTTTGTTGTTGTTGTTGTTGTTGTTGTTGTTGTTGTTGTTACATGGTGAGCCCCTCAGAGCCGTTTGGAATTAGTCAGTGTCTAAATCAATGATTAAATTAAATGTGATAGCACCCATTTTTGGGCTCATGGTAGGATTTGAAGCAGTGTTTAGTGAATTCATTCCCTGCTTTAAGAAATGGTGAAAAACTGTTGAAGTCTGTCTTTGCATTGGTCTGAAATTTCCTTCTACTCAAAGGTGTTTGTTTTGCTTTTTTTTTTTTTTTTTGGCCTTCCTGTCTCTTTACAATTTTTTAACTTCTTTGACTGCTAAACAAATATATCATTGGTGGGATTCAATTTTTTTACTACTGGTTCTGTGGGTGTGGATAGGGGGCATGGCCATGTGACTAGGTGGGTGTGATTGTTTTTGTTTTTTGTTTTGCTTCTTGTAGCAACCCCTCCTTCTGGGCCTTCTGGGCCTCAGAAAAGCCTCCTGAGCAGGGCATTTTTGCTCCCAGAGGCTTCCCTTGGGCTCAGGAAGACAGAAAACGGAGTATGGGGGGCACTCAGCACTCCCCTGTGCTCTGTTTTAGGGCATTCTGAGCCTCAGGGAAGCCTTCTGGGTGGTGGTTTTGCTCCCAGAAAACTTCCCTTGGACTCAGGAATGCAGAAAATGGAGCACAAGGTGCAGCACCCCCCTACGCTTCATTTTGGGGCCTTTGTGGAGCCCAGGAAGGCAAAAAAATGGAGGGGCAGGGGTGCTATGCCCCCCTCCATTTTTGCCTTCCTGGGCTTCAGGGAAGCCCCCTGGGCAAAGCAGTAAGTAAGTGAGGGAAATCCCGGAACAGCTGATCTTAGGAACGGCCAATTATCAGGAGGGGAAAAAAGAAATGCCTTTTGGGCGGGTGAGCATCAGACAGGTGGGGCAAGCGAGCGAGCGGTGACCAGACGACCAGGTTGGGGGCATGGCCAGCCAGAAATTACTACCAGTTCTGCAATCTATGTCAAATCCTTGCTACTGGTTCATGTGAACCAGTGCAAACTGGCTGAATACCACCACTGATATATATCCTTTATAACTCTATACCCTGCATATGAACTTCACTGAAATTCTCTATTCCTGTGGGTTGGAGGAAAACAAAAAAGTTTTTTTTTCTTTATACTGAAATGAGAACAACTAAAAAGTTAGAATAAAACATTAAGACAGCAGTACTTCAGACATATATTTCTCCCAAATGTTTGCTCAAATATGCCAGATATAAAGGAAAATGATAGTGGCTATTCCCAAGTTGAAAAAAATTAAAAAAATTGAGACCACTACACAATGGTAAAAATTACACAAATAATGTGTAATTTAGAAAATTTTCCAAAGTCTCCTGAGACTCATGTATTAACAACAATGGAACACACTTTCTTGAATAGTACTTTCCAAATACTTTGCCTCTGGTAGAACTATTTGACATTTAAATGGAAAATGTGGCATCTGCTTTTTTCTTTGAAGACTATTAGATGTCAATTTATATCTTACCATGAGTAATTCTGAATGAAAACTATAACAGCAAAAGTGGTATTTAATTCCAGTAACCTTTGAATTTTCCACACATTATTACAAATCCAGCAGTGTTGAAACATGGAGATGAAGCTGCATTAGAGAGACCACAAATGGTAATAACAATCCCTGGATGTGTTCAATGGGTGAAAATGACTTTTCTCTTGGGCAAAACAGCACAATCTATAATTCATTTAAAGGTGAATAGAATAATTAACTTCAATCATACGTTCATTCAGATATGCACCACGTATACTCCTTTTGGATAGACAAGTAATGGGAATGGAAATGTCAACCTAAAAGTAATTTGGTGATTCTAATGTAGTTAGGATGATTGCCTTTCAATTTTACATCCTTGAGAAATAAAGTTTCCATAAAGTCATTTCAACATAATTCAGAGATAAATTAATGCTTGATTCTACAAAAACCCTGGTAGCTTATGTCTAAAAGCATCTCAAGGCTTGAGTTACTGTTACAGCCGATACTGAACTGGTGAGTTGAAGCCAAACTAGATTTCATAGATATTCTATAACATCAAGGAATAAGTTTATTTAGTATTAAACCCAAGATCCCTAACACAGGGAAAAAAAACTTTTCCTACAAACCTATGTTTTAATACATGCAGAGTCAGGTTTAATTAGAATTATCACTCCACAGTTTCTATATTTAGGCTGCTATCAAAATAATGTTCCCCCATTCCTAGACACCTCTCAGATTTGTGAACAGGCCCAGAATTCCCAAATGCATGGACAGCAAGCATCTATGTAAGAGTTCAGTAAACAGTAAAGGCTAACAATTCCATTTTCCTCCTATTTGAGGGTGTGGGGAAGGGAGACTCACTGACAGAAGAAAGCTTTTCTGACAAGGATGAGATAATTTACAAACTAAGAACTAGGTTATGGAGTTCCCTCCCTACCAATTATTGTTGGCATAAATTGGCTGAAAGATCTCCGTTTATCAGATTTTTATCTAATTTCTGATGTTGCACTACTTAGGATATTTCTGTCATGCTCATGATGCTGTTTTGAGTTTTTAATATCATCAATTTTCTTCAGCTTTATTATCTTATTATACTCTGCTTCTGAAAAGTAGGCTATTTTTCTAAATAAACCCATACGTAAATAAACTGATCTAATGATACCTATTGGAGAGCAGTATCAAATTTCCAGTTTTCCCTGTCTGTTCTTCCTATTAAACTATTAGAACTTCTCTGTGCCTCTTTGTTTCATAAAATTAATTTCATTAATTTTAGCCGAACGTCAGCCTATTTTATTCCTGTTTTAGCCTATTTTTGAGTTGACACCTAAACCAAATGTATAAAAAATGTTTTTAGTGTTGTAAACACTGTTCCTAGTTTATTTTGAAGACTTCAAAAATATTTTCTTGTTCATAAAAATTAACAGTGCTTCCTGCCATCTTCAAAGAGCCTACATCGTACACCCAAATTTGATGATATAGGCAGTTGACCTTATTTTATTTATTTCCTTTAATATAATATTGATGCTTCAAGCCCCTCCAAAACCCAAATATTTACTACAGTTACTGATAAAATAGCCTGTTTTAGCATTCAAGAAGAGGGAGTCAAGCTATTCTCCAAAGCACCTGAAGGCAGGGCAAGAAGTAATGGATGGAGATTAATCAAGGAGACAAGCAATCTAAAACTAAGGAGAAATTTCTGACAATTAGAACAATTAACCAGTGAAACAACTTGCCTCCAGAAGTTGTGAATGCACTAACACTGGGAGTCTTAAAGGAGAGATTGATCAACCATTTGTCTGAAATAGTACAGAGTTGCCTGCCTGAGCAGTGGGTTGGATTAGAAGACCTCTAAGATCCCTTCCAACTCTGTTGTTCTGTTCTGTTCTGTTCTTTTCTGTTCTGTTCTAATAAGAACCTAGATACCATGAACTCAAATCTAAAACAGCTAGCAATTTATCCTTCCCGTTTTTTAAAGGTTACCCATCACCAATTGCCATAGGAATCTTTAAATAAGATGCTAAAGTTCATTTCTGTAGAAACGAACAAATCCCTTTGGATGCCAGACTTCATAAAGTATCAATTTGGTATAGATTACATACTCTGTATAGTTCTCATTTTGAAAGACTCTGATGACATTAATGATGCTGACATTTATCTTGCTTTCAATATGCTTCTACATTCCAAGTGACCTGCTACTGGACAACATCAAGTTATTTGTCAGAATCAATAAATGTCACCAGCGCCAGGAGAGTGTGGTGTGCAAATGCCTTCATCAGAACTATAAAAATTGTTTAACATGCATTCAATATTCAAAAGAACAAAAGCTTTCAAAGACGTCAAACTCATATTGTTGTGAAACAAACCAAGACTGGATACAAATACAATATTTTACACACAATACAATTATTTCCAATTAATTAATCATTTTTTCTCCCATGTTTCTGGGCTGCTGTTATAAAATAATGCACCCAAGCTTCCAGATGTATTTGAGAAATTCAGCAGTGTGTAAGGTTGATGATGATCTTTTAGGTTCACATGCAACCCAGCCGTAGATGTCTAGCTTGAACTCCTAGAAGAAGGGAAAGAGGTAAATGTGAGTGTAAATAAACCTAATATGTTGATGTCCATAATGGCTGGAAATTATAAAGGCTAGAGTTCCAATCTATCTCAAGGGTATTGGCACGGTCCCAGGGAAAAAAATGTATGTAAAATGCACAGTTACAATCAACAAAGCATTGCCTCGTGGAAAAGAATTGAAAATGAAGAAAAGCCTATGCATTCAATCACTTTCTTGTTTAAAAATCCAGGAAAAGAAACAGAAAAGACAAATCAGAGGCAAGATGGTTTCTCGTGAATGCTTTCAGTTCCTCCCATCTTAATTACAAGGGTATATTAAAAGTTTGACACAGCAAGGGAAATGATGATGCCACTCTACAGTCTCCTATTTTATCATGGTTGGCACTCCCCAATACCTTGAAAGTTGCCTCTTACCTTAGATTTTGTTCCTGTCAAGACACACCCAAGATTGTATTGCTTGATCACAGTATGTGAAAGTACAATTGACTATACAAGCAAATTAAGAGGAATCTTAAAATACTGAATATGGATAGTGCAAACAACCTGTGAGAGCCTGAAACCTTTTCAAGGACATCACAGCAGGTGTGGAGAAGAAGTAAATGATTCCCATAACAAAGTGAACTTGTTTAATAGACTACGTGAGAGGTTGGGGGTTTGGCTGGGGAAATTATTGTTTAATTCTATGAACTGATGGTATCTGGGAATCTCGGAGTCAGTTTTGCCCCGACATTACCATGCAGTGGATTCAATAAACAGTAAGATATTTGGAAACAGAATGAACCTGAAGTTCTATTTGGATTCTTGAGGTGGATGTTGACACAACAATTGGGGTTATTAGGCAAGGACAATTTCCACAAAAGTCATTTTTGTGGGGGACACAGGACAGGGTGGATACTGCTAAAGCAAGTGTCTGGGGTTAGAACTTAAAGCAGAGGGAAGTTACTTACTGCTGCTTGTTTACTTTTCCCATCGTCAGATTGTTTGCAAAGGCCTTTTGAAATTTGCAGTGACTACCTTTGGTATAGAATATAAGAGCTAGAAAGAGGAAAAATTGCTAATGAAGGTTAAGAGACCTAGATTTGATCTGATAAAACAAAAATTTTAAAAAAAGAGAGAAAATGTTGCTTTTTCCAAAGGTGGTTGATTCATACATGAGACCATGTTGTGTTTCCCTTGTTGAAGACTCTAAAATTCTTATGCTTGTAACTGCTGACTTATTCATCAATATTTTAAAGCAATAGGGCAGCCATTTGACAATTGCTTGTGCATTTCAGCACAAATAACTAAATGGAAGATGATAAAAGCTGTCATTTCTCATTGAATTATTAACAAAAAGGGTCTTGTAAGTAACCTTTTGCTACCCTTCCTCCTATGATAAAAATAGACTACAGAGGAGAATGATTTCATAGTTTCAAGCAATTCAAGAAGGGCAGTCACTTAGCAAAATGTAATTCATTTTTAGTATAATTTAATAGAAAACCTATCAAAGTCCTTTAGAGATAAATTTTTATAGGCTTGTAGAACTGCTTTTAAATGCAATTAAATGCAATTAGATTATTTATTTATTACACATCCCTTATACTCTGCCTGACTTAATAGCTCCAGAATTATTAATCTTGTCATGGGATACATTTAAGAGTTTGAAGGATTTGATTGAAAGAGACAATGCAAAACAGCATTGTATTTTTTGAAATATACAGTGTAAGTTGTTTCATTTCCAGCTAAATTTAGCAATTACAATTTATAGTTTCTAACTTCTGTGCATATCAAAACAATAGTCTTCTCCTCTCTTGCTGATAACATGATGTTTCAAAAGTATATAAATGAGAGCATTTTGCCAGTGCAATATTAAACTCTAGTGAATATTAAATATGTCTATGTGCATATTATGATTCAAATATCCATAGTCTACTGTAATTTTGCCCCTACCTAAGTTTCCTATTTTAAGAAAAGTCTTAAATAACTGGAAAAGGCGTTGCCTTAGAAATCGCTGGTATAACTTTTGACTTTCATTCTATTCATCATTTGGAACCTCACTAGGGTCTCTGCTTTAATAATTGCTCCATGGAGATACTGATTATCTTCAGCACTCTTTCCCCAGATGATCTTCTCAAATGTTTCATGGACCTCAGACTTCTCATGAACAGTATAAACATTTCAAATCCATTTTAAGGGCATTGTTACCTTTTTTCTGGATTGAAACCAACACTCTCTCTTTACAAGCCACTAGAACTGTCTAATGTTAGCCAATTTAGCTGCCAGCCATCATCCTCTTCTCACAGAAAGTGAGAAGAAACAAAAAATAGTGCTAAGGCACTATATATTAGTTCTAATATGGACACTATACATTAGTTCTAATACACTCAAAGCCTGCAGGCCAGATCTGGCCCAGAGGGTGCTTTGATCTGGCCTGCAGGGCTGGCCTGGAAATAACAGAGGATTGACCCAAGGTGCTTCTGCTACTAAAATGGGGCACAGAGGGCCGCATGCAGCCCCCATCTCTGGGCTTAGACAGCCTCCTGCAGCACTCTGGCAGCCAAAATGGGGCACATTTGGAGTGATGATAAGGTCATGGAAAATCCTGAAGATTAGAGGACCACACTGAGGAGATATAACCACTATTTAGTCCAGCTGTATTATGGATGAATGAGTCTTCTATTTTATGGTTTATATGGGATTTGCTGTCCTTGCCTGGAAACAGGGAGGAATCTGATAGGAATAGGAAAAGAATGAAGTTGCATTTGACTCTGTTCATGTCCAAAAGAGACGGAGGAAGAACGTACAGCCTCCATTTTGTTTGATACATCTATTTTCTTTCCACATTATACAATGGAATATCACCAGAACAGTGGTGATGTCTGACCTCAAACCAATAGATAACTTCATAAATGGTGTTTTATAGATTCAAAGAGATAATATACGCATAAACTAAATAAACAAACAATAAAACAAATTATATCTGCAATATGCAATTTGAAATAAGACCAATCCTAAGTATTGGTTATAACAAATGGATTTGCATTCAGCTAGAAATATGTTTCATTTTCAGAAGCCAAGGATAAGCAGACTCAAGCTCTTGGAGGGCAGAGCTGGTGTCGCAACAATACAGTATGTGATCTTGGAGGTCTTAGATTGCTGCCGATATCTTTGCTTCTGGACGGTCCAAACGGTTCTAAACCATCCCGAAGAGATGGTGAATGAGAGCGCATCCTGTCGATCCCAGGGATATCACAAAGCCCCTGGTAGATCCAGGAGAAGCTCTTTTTGCCAGCAGCAAAGAGGCAGCCATTAAAGCTGCTGAAGTTGGGACAGCTCCGAAACGAAAGAGAACAGAAAGAGAAAGAGTGCCTGTTTGGTGAGAATTTTTTCTTTAGTTTAAGATTTGAAAGGACACCCTAAGGAAAAGAAAGAATCTGTAAAATTTTAGACAGAAGTGATTAGGTGGCAATTTTAAACAGGAAGTCAAAGTAATATATTTTTTTTTCTCTCTCTCTCTTTGCTGGATTTTTTATACATGATTTTATATTTTGAAACTGGACTGGCTTTTTTTCTACCTATTCTCTCCTTTTTGATCTTATAATATTTTAGGCTAGAGACTCCCTTCCAGTCGTCCCTTTTAATATCTTTTTCCCTTTTTAATTAATTTTTATTATATCTTGTTTGGAAAAGGAGGGGGAAAGTGAAAGCAGAAGAAACTTTGTAACACTGCCAACTAGAGGCTTGGAAATATTCAATCTCTTTTTTTTCCTCTTGACCAGACAAAGCTGAGAAAGAACGGAGACTTCTTTTCAAGGACTTTGCCTGTTTGATAAGATAGAGGGAAGAGCATGGGAGAGTATTACTAGAGGTGCTCTTCTGGGTTTCTATCAGTAGCTGAAGTCTGGTGTTGAAGTTTACAGAAAAAAAAAGACGATAAGACTCTGGAGAAGAGAGTTATAAATTTTTAACAAAAGCCTTGGATAACTAAATAAGGTACAGTGTGCTCTTTTTACTTTTTTTAAGCTGAGCTATTTCTTACTTTAACAAACCCGCTCCTTACTAGATTACTTTTTGTACTAGCTATTTGGATCTTTGGCCTTTTGGAACTTGTTTTTATCTTTCTTTTTGTTTTTGAAGTCTAATTTTTACGTTTGCATTTTATTTTAAAGGAAAAGTTTTAGTATTAATGTTTTCCTTCTTTTTTTTTTT